AATAATGTACCTTCCATCAACAATCCTAAACACATTTATGTGCAATATGTCAAATCAAGATTGGTAACACCCGTGGTAAACACGTGTCAAGTGGAAAGAGACACATGCTAACGTACTGCATTGGCGTTCGAACGTTAGTTTTTTTAACTACTATGATATATTAATTCATGAGGTATCATAGTTTGTTTATTAGCCTAGTTTTATTATTTGATCAGTATCTAAGTAAAAATGTGTTCCATGCCTATAAATTATACCATCTGTACATAGAAATAACATCAAGGAAATTAAAAATTATTCATTTAGATATAGTACACATCACTACAAACAATGAAAACAACTATATACATGCATGATACATTTACATGTCTATTTCCTGGCAACCACAGCTTAACTATTTGCACATTGTGCATTTATTTTGGTGTCTTTGAATGCAGCCATTACATGTTTGAGATATCATAAATTCAAAAGAATCCAAACTAATAATGATAAATATTTATATTATTTCCATTAATCACGCATTCTCATTAGTTAACTAGAAATAGTTGATGTTTGAATTTTTTTTACACATGTTATTAGGTATGTGAAATAACATTGCATTGCATCCAAAATGAAATATGATTCGAGATAGTTATGATATACTGAAACCGTGTCACATTGATAGCATTGAGTTAAAACAAACTGTTCCAAAACACAGCAAAAAGACTGATCTCTAACTTTTTGAGTTGATATCAACGACTTTCCTCAACACAAATAATGCATCATTTATGAACAAAAAATGATCATTGCATTTAAATGATAAACTAGATTAACATAAATCGGGGTTAGTAATTCGAAAGGGGCATCTACAGCGTAAAGTGAGATAAATGGCACCTTTATCAAACCAGATGATTACTTCACGTAAATAAATGTAAATATATTATTGCTGAATGTTTGTTTAAATGAATTAGAAGGTCAGTATTGTGTTGAAGACATTTAAAAATCAAGTATTTTAAGAAAATACAGGTTCTATTCACAGATTATTAAAATCTAGTCTGTAATAGCAAAAACACACAATTAGTGATTATCGTTTCATAAATGTTTATTTTAAGAGACGTATGTGTCGAAGACTATTCGATGTAGTGCGAGGTTTGTTTGGTTCGTTGATTGGAAACATCTCGATTCGATATTTTTTCAAATGTCATTCCAGTTGAGTAATGAGAACGGGTTATATGAAGTTGTAGAACTAAACAGGATATGTACAACAGCATGTACTGTAAACACACAGGCTTCGAATTCACTCACAAAAATGAGACAAAAGAAGATGTAATTCTAGACCATTGGGGTCTTAGGTGCACGTAGCTGCACAGTACTCAGTGTGACTCATATAACACTTACACACCCCCATCAAGAAAGGTCAGATGTATGATAATACAGGATTTAGAAAAGAGGTCACTAGATAGATTAATATGCGTTCAGTGCTACTGTGTTTTTAATCAATGTATCACTGCCCTATGATTTGACCATGGATTATATTGATATTTATCTATTACTGTTTAATGTATTTAACTATTTTTTGGTCTAGTCAATTCAAACGGCGGACTGTAACCATCATGATGATAAACATCTTCCCTCGTATAACTTACAGTACAGTAATAAACACATTTCTCGAGTGAAAACTACACTGTTTATAAATATATACATATTTTTCATGCAAAATTAGAATTGGTAATCATTTCGTAATTTAGTTGTTTCATGTTATAATGTTAATAACTAAGTATCAAGCGTTTTCTTTCAGGCCTGTCATGTTCTTCTAGTCTGTTGTGATGCCGCCTGGAAATGTACGATGGACAACTGGCCACGAGAATGAAATTAACACACTGTTGAAAATGACGCTTGTGTGATTTGCATCAGTCACGTCAGGTCGGCATCCAGCAATTTTCGTTTAAAAAGAAATGCATTGTTGAAATAAATATTGAATGTATTGGTCTCATTCAAGTGTCAGTGTATCGATCTGGGTATCGATAAAAGTTTAAACTTATTATTCAGTATATTTATTGACAAAACATGTAAGAATATAACCCGACATTTAGGTATAATTAAATGAATTTGGTTCTTGATAGATGAATGCCATGGTTACTCCCTTTTTATTATTGTGATATTGAGCAATACTTTTAATAAATACACTGATAGATTATAGAAATTAAAAACCGTGGGGCTAGGATAATTTTAAAAGAGTACAAACGGGCGCCTGTAAATGACATGATGAATAAACTCAATATTTAAACACTCCCAATCCCGCACGTTAACTAGATTTTCTAAAAAATCAAAATTTAAATTTGCTACAAAATTTATGATAATAGAGAACATTAACGTTGATTTAAAGTCACCAGCAGCTATTAACTCATTTAAACTTAGAAACCGAGTAGTTTATTGCTATTTGTTCTGTTTATATCAGTCTTAGCATTGTATGTAATTTACTGCGATGAATAAAAAAAATAAGAAATGCATCTGAAAAAAATGGACAAGAACCAGTTTTATCGATTTAGCTGCAGTCAATTTAAAAGTACACATTAAGACACAAATTTAAAGGGTACAATATACTAATTTAATTTCAGTTGTCTAACTAAATATCAAGGTACAGCATCATTGCGAAACAATTACACTCATCCAGGGATATAACGGTTACTTAATAACGTATTATTTGTAATCCAGTGTACATATGGCGCTTTTGTGTTAGTTTCTTTCTTGGATTATCGGTGTTATTTGATGTATTTGTTATTAGACATGGTCAATTTGTTATCAGATCAAATTGCGTTCATGGACATTGATTGTCACTGTGTGCGGGTTACTTATACGGTACTTATGCAATAGTTCACAAGAAGATTTGTTATTCGACCGAGGCAAACTAATGACTTAGGCAGGTAATTTGGAAACAGGTGAAACGACAGGATATATCTCAGTCCCCCAATGGATGGCAGAACCATGCCGTGTTTCAGCCTGAGTGGTAGAACCCTACTATATTGCAGCAGAAAAAACAGAGCCTGACTGCGTTTCATGATGGCAGAATCATACCGTATTTTTTTGCTGGCAGAAAATCACCGTGTTCCAGGCAGGCAGTTTTAAGCTCACAGAAGTATACAGCGTTTCTTGTTGTCAGAGCCATTCCATAATTCGAAACAAAACCCTGTAACAAGTGTTTGAGCCACACACTGCTTCAGGCTGCCAGACCCATACCCTTTTTCTCGTTGCCAGAACCTTAATACCTTTCCCTTTACCCACTAATCCCATTATGTAACTCAAGTAAAAACACACAGCGTGGAGTTCCCAGTTTGTGTGGTTTCCTGGGTGATACCCGAATGCACATATGTATATTGATCTCATCTCTCATTTTTCCTGTATTGTGTGAGTTTGTTGATGTCAATTGCATATTGTTTAGTTGTCACTGACATCGATTTTCGCTGTATAGATTTTACCTGTCAATCTAAACTATGATTAATGAATTATATTATACATTTTTTGATTGAATAATTTATTATTGGCCTAATCAATTAAACGACAAGATATATGATATTCTAAATGCAGCATTGCCTCTTTACTTCGAATTTCCCATTTATACAATTAGATGTTATCTACATTTCAGTTTAATTTTGGATGGGGGATTCGGTTGGCGTAACATCGACAGTCTATTTCACCAGATATTTGAAATACTAGAAATCTAGGTAATGCCGAACCATCGGTTTATGAATAAATTAGGCAAATATCCTATTTATTATTCTTACGCGGTTTTAATCGCAACTTTTAGATATCCAGATGAAGTTGAGTCAAAAAAGACTAAAAATTCTGCTACATACTTAAGTATATATGCATTAAGTTTGACTCCAAAGGCTGGCATTTGAATGTTTCTATAAATAATTCAGCACACCTTCGCAGCGATATCCGACCAAATCAAATCTATGAGTATACATTTCCTAGCTCATCCGCTACAGTACGGTATGTATACAGAGTTTTAAAGAGGAATTCTTCTTTCTTTCCAAACTATTGAACAAAAGATTTTGTGGAGAACAGTCAGTCTGTGTTTTCTCATAAAAAGCGTGATGTTAAATACGCATATGACATCAAGATAATGTCTCTGGTGTACTCATACAGAAACCATTTGTGTAGACTCAGAATGATGTTTGATGGGTACCACATATGGAGCAGGATGTGCTCACTCATTTCGAAACACCTGACATAATTTCATAAATACCGCAAGATCCATATTCTTTTACTGATTTGACATTATGTATATACCCCTATCATAAGTCGAGCGCCCTCAAACACTTCCTGTTCAGA